TAATAACATGAATCCTATAAAACGTAAAGAAGATTCCGAAAATTGGAAGTTTTTAAGTGAGTGGACTGAACAGTATTGTTTTACACTGCCAGATAGAGCTAAAGCTATTCTATTATCCTCATATGTAATAAAACAGTCACTATTATTAAAAGTGACAATTTAAAACAACATTACGAAACAAATCACCAGGTATTTCACAAAAATTTGTCTCTTGGAAGTAGAATGCGTCATGAAAAAATACAAACATATTTAAAATCTTACAAGAAAAGCACTGCCGTGTTAGGTACAAAAAAAATCTTCAGAAGCTCCGTTTCGTATATGCTAGACGCTTAACAAGCAGCAAAAGCCATTATAAATATTTATCGCAAGTGGCTACAGCACTTTTTATAGAAAAAAAGACATAGTCAACGCTATTCAAAGTATACCTCTGTCTGTAAGAAGTAATACAGAAATTTTGGCTGCTGATAACAAAGCCAGACGATGAGCAATAAACCGCTTGGTTACATTGGTCAATTTTATTAGATCTCGTTCTGCACTTCAACATAAGTAAGAAGTAATAAAAAGTTTGGATAAATTAGAAGGGAAGAAATACATGGAATTCTTAGAAAACAGGTCCAATATGGTAAATATACCTTTTTTGAAGGACCTTTTAAAATATTTTAATGCGAAAATTTGTCTTCTTTTCGGCGCAAGTTGGATACTTTTGAAAATAATATTGTAATAATATCAGCAATATATTCATTTTTCAACCATTCTTCAATATAAAAGCAATTTCGAAATAGATACTGCTGTGTTTTTAAATTTTATATCAGAACTTAAGAAGGAATTTGACGCAAGATTCCAAGACTTTGGTAAAATAGGAAAGCTACCGCAATTCGTAAAGTCGCCTTTTGAAGTATCTCAGGAGAATGGACTGATGTGGCATGAAGCTTTTTAATATTTTATAGGCTCCGCTTCAATTGGAGATAATTGATTTACAAAAAGATGTGTGTTTGAAAACCAAAATAAGTGCACCCACTGAAACTCACATGGTTCAGAAAACTACCCTAATTGCAAAAACTAGAAATTCCGGTATTTACTATGTTTGGCTTCACATATGTATATGAAACAAAATGTAAAACAATTTTTAAAGAAACCAAAAATTACTCTATTTCTTTTGGAACTCTTTTTCTGGTCCTCTGTAAAATTTTCCAAAGATTTTCGGAAAACCGTCGATTTTTACTAATAAAAAAAAATAACTCACAGAAAGAAAAGGAAAATGATATTCATTTTGACATTACAAAAAATTAACTAAGTACAGTACACGTTTAAACTAATATACCATTTAATTATTATAAATATGATTGTATCAGTAGGTACTGTCAAATGCAAAATGAAACTAATAGAAACTCATGAATTAAAAGTAACTTTAATAATTATTAGTGACTTCCTTGGGCCTGTCTCGCACAGCAAAGTTTTTCAAAAGAAGGTTTTATATTAGAAATAGCCACTTTTAGTTCTTTGTATATATTCAGTCGAGACCTATATTTTGTCTTTAAAGGAGCCACCGCAGAAAATCCGGCTTCGCAAAAGTACGATGTTGAAAATGGCTATAATATACGAAATACTTTTGTTTTCAGTGTAAAAAGGGCATCATCAACTTCCGCCCAAAATTCAAAGACAGATTTATTACTAAATTCTCTCTTGATTTCGCCGATTGCAGTAAAGTCTACGAAGATTTCTTCTTTTGCAGTTGAGAGACCTTCGGGAGTAGTTCCAATGTATCCCTAACCCACTCGTAACTTGCTAACAATTTGTCGTCAGCAATAAAATGCGTTTTAAAATTCTGTGCCAACATGGCTAAATGACTTTCTATTGTTACAAAAACAACTTTCACATACTGTGCTTCTTCCTTGTATGTTTTAACACACTCATTCACATTTGCAAACATTTCTAGTTTTCTTGTTTCACATTTTTGTTCCACAGCTCCAACTTTCCACAAAAAGCACTAACTTTATCACTGTTATCCAACATATGTGTGTTTGCTCCTTGGAGTTGTAGATTAAGGGTATTTAATTTCTCCAATATGTCGACGAAGTAACTCAATTTGTAGACATTTCCCACGTGATAACCATCTGGCCTCGCAATAAAATAGCAACGTCGAATGTTCTGCACCCATATCTTTGCAAATTGCATTAAAGATTCTTGATTTTAGGGGTTTCATTTTTATATAATTTACTACAGTTACAACCATCCTTAACACCACGTTGAGACTAGGATTCATTTGTTTGGAAGCCAGAGCCTCTCTGTGGATCATGCAATGGGTTCAGACACATTGCGCAGATTTTTGTTTCACCAGTGCTTGTATACTTTGGAATCTTCCAGACATTGTACGAGCACCATCGGTGCATATTCCAACGCATTAATTCGATTCTTCCACTGTATGTGGCCTTATTAATAAAATCATTTAAAACATCACACAAAGAGAGTGCTGTGGCTTTGAGTTCTATAGGTTTGCAGAAAAGTAGTTCTTGTACTGCCGATATACCATCATAAAATCAGACATAGGCAATTAAATGAGCGTCTTTATTGCTATCTGTTGCCTCGTCATGCTGTACATCTTCGACTATATCACCAATTCGACGGACAACGTATATCTATATATAGTTTGAAAGACGTATGGATTGCAATTGTTTGCCAAAATTACCTCCAAACATAGTTTCTACACTCTCCATCGCAGCTGGCAGAATAAGGTCTTCACCAATGGTGTGAGCCTTTCTACATCTGGCAGTGATATATGATACTTTGTAAGAAGCAAGTAAAGCTTTTTCGTTCACAAAGTTTTTTCGAAGAATTATGTTTGCTCTTCATATGTCTTTAATTTTAATTCAAAGAATTTTCTGGGCTTGTTAACGTACTCACATGAAGTGTTTCCAAATGGCGTCTAAGTTTATTAGGTTTCATGCTGTCTGCTGCCAATATTTTTAAACAAATGACGCACAGGTAGGGGGTGCCATAAAAATTGTCATTCAAGAAACGCTGCTGTAGAGAGTCTTACATATGATTCTAAATTTTAATTTCTATTTTGGATGGTACAAATCAGTCAATTTTTCCCATATCAACACATTTTTAACGTTTAATTATTTTTCTGAATTCCCTGAATTTTTTTCTCTTCACTAATGATTTAGAGAGTGGTAAATGTGATTCTGAATTTTAAATACTAGTTTTCAAACGTAGAATTTCGTGAAAGTTTTAGTGGTTTCAATTGCTGTCTTTTTCTTTAAATGAAGCCTTTGTAGCTGCTGTTATCAGAATTGTTTATATTAGGCAAAACCTATTAAAAATTCTCAATCCCATCACATACAAAATCATACGAGAATCTTTGAATTATTGTTTAAATCAAGACAAGTTCCAAATATATGGAAAGCCACAGCAGACTTACAAACCTTATACAACCAAGTATTAAAATGGTTACATAAATGGAGACTTACTCTCAATTGAGGAAAATTCCAAGTCACAGTTTCAAACCACCACATTTGTGAATCCGCATCTGCAACAGTGAATTCCGGCAACCTATGCATGAAACCATCTCCATCGGTTAAATATCGGAGAATAATTTTGGATAAGCCTAAAATTATCCAAGCATTACAAAACCAAAAGAGACGACGCGATCAAAAGAGTATATCTACATCAACACGGCAATGAAATCTACAAAATTATGCAGACCGGTTTTAGATTATGGATACATACTAACAATTAACTCGACGAATAAGACTAAGGATATCATTGATAAAGCAGAAAGGAGATGCATAAGAATCAAAAAATCCAACAAAGTCCGACATCCAAAAAATTTTCTGCACAATATAAGTAATGAAGACTAATACGCTGGAACACAAATAAAACCAATATAGCTAAGGTACGAAGAACTAAAGAAGAAATTTATCAATGAAAAGTACAACAGGCAGATTGGACACAATCTGTTCGAAAAGAGCAGAAAAAGATAACGATAGTAGACACTGGATAATATATGAAGGTAACTATTAGGCAAACTGTTTTTCTAAAAAGATTGCCTACAATGATGATCTCTGACTCATGATCGTTTGGCTCGGCCAGGATATAAATAAAACTACCAAAAATCGAGGAAAATTGTGGAGATAACACTTTTAATTCTGAAAATAAATATGATTTACAAATGACAAGAGGAAAAAAGAAACTGAAAATGAAAATGGAAAAAAATGAACATGAAAATTCTGTTTTTCATTGTCTTTTCTAAAAATTCTAAAAAGTTGACTCATAACTCATAACTGACGTATTGGAACGGGCAATGCTGATAATGATCGAACATCTAAATATAACTTTTATCACTAAATACAATACAGATTAAAAAAACAGAATTTCTGCTACTTAAAACAAAAAAGTAGGTATAACTACGAGGGCTTTCACGGCCGGTGTTAATTAAACTAAAACTAGAACTAACACTAACACTATCACTAGAACTAATACTAGACCTATAACTAGAAACATTCTGATTAATCCTTGTGTCCTTTGGAAAAGTGTTTAACGTTTTGGATGCCATTTGCAACCTTCGTCAGAAACAAGTTCAAAGTGAATCAAGTAAATCACACCTACAACATGTTCGAAGTGATTCCTTGATTCAATTTTATTGATTAAACACTTTTTAACACGGATTAACCCGAAAGTTTCTAGTTGTAGGTCTAGTATTAGTTCTAGTTTTAGTTTAAGGAATCGAAGTGTTTTATTAAGTTTTACCAATACATGTTATTCCATAATACTTTTCTTATTTACTTAAATTTTTGCAGAAAAGAGTTAATAAATTATCAAGTGTAAGGTTATGGTTGCCCACATCAGCAGTAAATATGTAAATAATATCAATAATTAATCCTAAAATAGCTTAAATAATTCTTATTTTCCATATATCACAATGTAATTCTCGTCTAAAAGTAAATATAATTTCAGTATTGCATCTAATTTATCAATTCAATATGGTTTGATAAAAATATCGGAGGATTTTACCAACTCTATTCCAATAATGAAAGTGATTACTCATGAAAGTTATGACCGGGAAAATTATGATAGGAATGACATTGCTCTTCTTAAAGTACATACATCCGAGTATTTTTATTTTACACAATTTTTAATTCAAATATTAATTGTTTAATAGTTAAAATTTGAGATACCTTTAAGTGAATCGGTTCAACCCATAAAACTTCCAACTGAAGAACAAACTTTCGAAGCATGGTCGATTGGTACATTAACTGGTTGGGGAGCATCATACGTAAGTCATAAAAATGAAATAAATTCCGTGAGTGTAAAAAAAAAATTTACAGACTGGAGGAAACCCTTTAGAAAATCTTCATAAAGTAAATCTTTTTATCTATCCTCAAACAGAGTGTACAAAAATATTCAATAACGACAGATTTAATGTCATTGCAGAGTTATGTGCAGGTGTTCTTCCAGGTGGAAAAGGGCAGTGTCATGTAAATAAACAAAGGTAACAATATATTAATTGAAACTATATTAAAATTATTTTCTAGGGTGATTCTGGTGGACCGCTAACGTTACATGGGACTCAAGTTGGAATTGTTTCTTGGTCTTACAAACCTTGTACAATTGGCGGTTATCCTGGTGTTTATACTAGAGTTTCTCACTACATAACATGGATCAAAGAGAATATTAACTTGATGTAAATTTTGTTAATTCAGTAAGAATAGTCCTTGTAATGAATGTTAATAAAGTACTTTTCAATGAATATTAAGTAGTGGAATATTAAATTCATTACCTGTTATCTTTCCTTGAAATTCTAAGTAAAATATTGAAAAGTCAAGAAATTTATTTTCGTATATCATTCTTTCAAAGTTAATTTTAAATAAACTTTCATAGCTTCTACTTTATATACTAGACTTGAGAGACTTGAACCTTGGCGATGTTATAATAAAGCACTCTATAGTATACAGCTTTACAAGACCTCGATATAGCATTAGAGATAATGGAAACTGAACTTAAAATAGTACATCACAGTTATAATTTACGTTACATTTATCCAGCTTACCACCAAGTTTACTGTTATCTTTTTTAATAGATTTTACCATTACTTAATTTATATTTTCTTTCACAAAATTTGTGTAAAATATATATTTATCTCCGCGCAAAATACAAAACCTCAATTTATAACAAACTATGATCATTATAACTGAACAAGAAAATAATAAAAATAAACTGTATTATACTTTAATTAATATTTATTTTGTATAGTATTAACAATAATAAGTCTCTTTTGAAATAGTGATTACACGTTGGAGAGATTAGTTTTACTGCAGTTAGATTTGGGATTAAGAAGTGTGAAATCTTGTGAGATAAAAATCTTATCTTACACGATTGTTTAAACCAATTGAAAAATCATTTATCAATAAGTACCCGAAGTTCAAGATATAGACAATCGGAAATGTTCGATTAGCATCGTGTTAAACCTCGCTCAACTTGACACGCATTATTAGGAACACATTGTTGTAAATTAAGTCAGAGATTGAGTTTGCTGATACAAATAACTTGTGTTTCAGCAGTTTACAAATGCAATCAATTTGTTTTATCATATAAAACGTTTTCCTGGTTTATTCCCAGGTTTTAATCCCAGAGAAACCATGAGGCAGCAGACAAAACTGAAGTATATTACTTACTAGACGCCGGATACCGCTTCTCAATTGCTAATATGGAAATTACCAGTGGTACATCTGTAAATTACCTGGGAGTAACCCTGAATAGCAAACTCACCTTCCGGGAACATCTTCGGAAAGTCTGTGACAAAGCGGGAAGAATTGCATCAATGTTACGGCAGATAATGATCAACTGTAGAGGACCAACTGCTTCTAAACGTTGACTATTGATGGACATAAGCAGCCTTATTATACAGTATGGACGTGAGGTGTGGTCGGATAAACAAACCGATTGCTTGCTACTCAGAGGAGGGATGCTCTTAGAGTTGCTAGCGCCTTAAGAACGGTGTTCAGCAGTGTTTGTTGTGGCCGATATACCCTGATTCATCTATCGGAAGCGGAGGAATGAAAAGAATCTATGATATTCAGACAACAACGGGACCGACGGAAGTGCGTAAACAGACCAAGATGGCCATTGATGCTGCGTAGACTACAGATGATGCTACAGCGCTTGATAGACTACAGAGCTTATCTCACATATAATAAGTTGGGATGAACGAAAAGAACGGCGAGGTGATTTTCTAATCCACTCAGTTCTTAACAGCACACGCACACTTCCCGAAATATCAATTGAAGAGAGAAAAGGTAAATAGCCCCGCGTGTCGAATATTATAATAAACACGTGTTCAAATATCTATAGATCGAAAATGGCTCTAGACAAACTGAAGGCTCAAATCGGCTACTTAACGATCGACACTATTGCTAGCCATATGATAGCGAGCGAAACAGCATGGCTAAAAATAATTACTTTTATGACAAGTACATACTACGATAGAAGAAAAGGGCACCATCCCCCCAACACCGCCTGGAAAGGAAGAACTGTTGAACTAACTCGTGTTGAAACACGGCAAAGAAAGAGGTTATTCCGAAGAAATGCCTTGAAGGGCGGTCCCAAAGTAGAGGGGTAAGGGTTTAGGCGGCCAGAGATAGGAGCAGCAATAGCTTATAGGTAATTCCTCCAACCTGTACATATCAGTTTTGAGGCCGAGAGTTTTCCTAAGACTCCTAATCCCCTTTTTAAATCAAATGAAATCAATTTGGCGATCAAAATGCCATAGTTGCCATATATTTACTTGATTTTGATGTTATGTATTTAACAGTATTTCAAACAGACGTAGGGCATTCGATTCTTCAATTCCACTGCATCATTCACCAACAAGCCTTGTGTGCTAAGAGTGGTTTAACATCTCTTGATAATGTAATGGGGATAGTCACAAAAATAATCAACCTCATCTCGTCGCAGGCTTTAAACAGGCGAAAGTTCGATGCTTTGTTAGATGAAGTCAACTCGGTGTACAATGGCTTACTGATGTACAATAATGTTCGCTGGTTGAGTCGCGGCAACGTAATTCAAAGATTTGTTCATTGCTTGGAAGAAATCAGACTGTTTCTGCAAAATAAGGGAAAAGTTGAAGAATACCCACAGTTGTTGGATGTTATGTGGCTTTCAAAATTGACATTTTTTACAGACATATGCCAACATTTAAATAAGTTAAACATGAAGCTTCAAGGCATAAATAAAACAATTATCGTCATGGTAGATCTCATTCGCTCTTTTGAGACTAAACTGCAAGTTTTCAGGAACGATAGTATTACAAGAAACTACAAGTATTTTCCAAATTTGAACAATTATATCAATGATTTGGAAATACATGAGAAACCAGATGAAGACCAAGTTACTGAAGAATTTATTTCTGTGATTGATTCTTCAATCAGGGAATTTTCAGCGAGATTTTCTCAGTTCAAAGAATTATCGGAAATACTCAAGCTTATTATGTACCCTGATGTGACGTCATTGGATAAACTGAATTTGTCCCAATTGGATTGGTTGGAAATTGAAGAATTTGAAATGCAGCTGATTGATTTCCAGTCTAGTTCAATATGGTTTCAAAAATTTATTGAAACAAGGAAAGAGTTAAAATTAATTGAAACAGAAAGATTGACAAGTAATATAAGTGAAAATGCTAATAACAAAATTCTGGAAACATGGAATGCGTTACCAGACACATTTAGAAGAAGCTGGCTCATGCTATTTTAACAATGTTTTCATCAACCTATGCCTGCGAGTCATTATTTTCAGAGATAAATAGCATTAAAGACTCGGTTAGAAACCGTTTGACAGATGACTCCAGTTCAGCATGCATTTTGCTAAAAGTAACATCTTACAACCCTAACATATGTTATTTGTCATCAAATCTGCAACAACAGAAGTCACACTAATTTTACTTTAATTTAAATTACGCGTATAATTGAAACATTGCAAAATGTTCCTATTTTTTAGTAGTAAATAAAGAGTTTTGAGTTGATAGTATTTATTACTATTATATTCCCAATAATCACAAAGTCAAAATTTTTTATGGCACGTCTACGACTACATTAAACATTTATTTAGAAAAATGGCACGTTTATACGTAAAGGTTCGCCATCCCTGGCATAGATCATCGACCCATATTTTCAAAAACTTGACTGCCTGGTGAAACTTACAGTAGTTTTAACGAGAACACTTTTCCAGGTCTTTTAGAGGACATGCCTTTACAACAGCATGCAACAATATTTTTACGAACTTCTGCACAATGCTTTCTCGATTTATATCCAATAGATAAAAGAGAAGAATTTTACTGAGCCTGTCGAAGTAGAAGTCGTTTGTCGTCCGTATTCACGAAGTAATTGCAGAAATAAATGATGATAATTCTGTGGCCAGGAACTTTAGTCGTAGATTACAAACCTGTACCAATAAAAATAATATCGTTCGACAACTATTGCGCACCAACCGATCAACTTTGTATTTAGACTAGTATTATAGCATATCTTTAAATGGAATTTAACGTAATACATTGTTGATCATAAATCTGTTTTGAATACATAAAATTCAGCAACAATACTAACTGTATTGAGAAAGTATCTCACACGCATTTTAGACAACCAAAAGGAGCACAATTTCGAAATCCTTGGAGTTGGATTTTACGAAGCCTGATAACATCTAAGTAAAGCAATACTCTGGTGTTATCGGTAAAAAGATTTGAAGAAATCTTCATCATCATCATCACTGTTTTTTAGGCTACTCTCAGTTTCGCTTCCAATATGGGAAACTCTATCTGTTCAGTTATGGTTTACCAGTTCAGCCAAATCACATCCTCTGCATTGCTACTTTCATCTTTTACATTTTCCTGCTCTTCGATCAAACCGCCAGTAACACTAAATTCAGCATAAAAATGAATCACAACTAGTTTGCAAAACTTCCATCAACATCATTCATCCATTATATAAAATTGTAGTGCAGCCTTATATACTGGTGCACCTCTAGCAGCTGCCGTCGTTCTAAATAACATGAGTTTCTTTTCCTACTCATTCCTATTCGTGTTAGTAACGTAAACCTCTACTTGTACTTTATTGTCGGTGTTACATAGGCGCAGCAGAATAAAATTTCAATCCGATGATTGTAATATCAACAATCTTATCTCTAGCAATAATGTTAAAGATTAGCTCAAAAGGTCGATGGGTAGATTACTAATCTGTACATTAATACTCGTCCATTATTCGGGCTTGGGCTGACAGTGACATTGGTAAAGCTACTCAATTTCGGCGGAAGACAACCTACAGAGACTCCCATATCTATTCTCAAAAACGGCCGAAGAGTAACATGCCAATATCAAAAGAAAAGACAAAAACGTTAGTAGTTTCAAAAGAAACTGTATGATGTAAACTAGAAATAAACAACAAAACCATTGAACAATTGATGTCCTTTATGTATTTGAGGGTTGAAATTTCGAATGAACGAAACAACTATAAAGAAGTCAAGCTATAAATTATGAAAGCAGCACGGGCATTTGGATACTTGAGATATGGCACCTGGAAAAATAAATAGATAATAACGGCGCGAGTCCGAGAGGGCAGCGCAAAAACATTTGTGGGATCAGAACCAGCAGTTGGTGTATTATTTGGATGGCCAAACATAGGATTGGACTGTGGGCTGAAGAGAGACTTTGCCTACCGTGGACCAGTTCTCCTGGAATGAGACATGCTAACGAATTTATTAACATCGCCACTGTCAAATCCGGGAATATTTTAGGACTTGCTCGTAGCAGCATAAAAGTTCTACTGGGCACTGCCGATTAAAAGCACACCTCAACTTGTTGGGTTTAGCCGACGATGTTGAATGTCGACTGTGTGCGGAGTAAGCGGAGACGGTTGAGCCCCCAAAGGTTCTGAATGACCTTTCACCGAGCAAGATATTAATGTTCGTTAAGAGCATTGGACTGCACGGTGAAATTTGATAACGATATCATCTATCAGGGTACAATAGATTCTTAGGGTCGCGGTGCAAGGTTGGTGATTAAATGTGATTACAATTGGTCTCTTCCATTTCTCGACCGATTACTACTTACTCTGACTGGTTCGTAATAATGAAAGGAATTTTATATTCTACAGATTATAAAAGAAAATGAAACTAATAAATTTTAAATACCGTTTAACAACCTAACAACAAATCTGCGTAGGAATAATGTTTTTCCACTATTTCCAAAAATTTTAGATTAAATAATAGATCGTTTGATGTCATTCCAATAAATTTAAACAAATACACAAAGGACACCGTACGTATAAATATCGAATGATATGGCATCCACTGAATATTGCCGGCAATAAATATTTTCAAAGCAGTAAAACAAAATTGTTCCAATATCAGGTTCATACTTGAATTCAATGTACCATACCCATTGAAGTAATAATATCTATTGTCGCTCATTTATTGTTCAATGTGACAGGCACTTAAAACCAAATCATATCTGATCGGTAGTCATAAAACGTTCTTGCAAGGTACATTAAATACAGTAATTATTCTATATAATGGTACTTATTCCATTATATAGAAATATTACTGTATTTAATGTACCTTGATTAAATTATATTGATATAAATTGATTTATACTATTTATTTGTACTTATGTTTTTAACGTCTTAACAACAAAATAATTAAGCCATTTTCAATAGCAATAAATAGATTTTTATTTAATCAATAAATAATATTAATAATAAATAATTCAATAAATAAATTCATTAACTATTATGAATTACAAATTAGCTATTTTATCTTCGATCCAATCAATATAATGAGCAACTCTAGTAAAAACACCCGGATATCCAGCAATGGTACAAGGTTTCACTGACCATGAAACAATTCCAACTTGAACACCATCAACAGTTAATGGTCCACCTGAATCACCCTACAAAAGAATAAAAATGTCAACCTTAATTTCTTAAACACCTTAAATAAATTACATTGCATTGCCCTTTTCCCCCTTCAGGAACTCCAGCACAAACATGATTTATGTCATCGACTTTAGCTCCATGGGCAGCTTTACATTGTTCTTGAGGGTAAAGCAAAATGTTAACTTTTTGAAGATGAGTCATTGTACTTCCCCCAGTCTGTAATATAATCACATTACATATTATTATGAATACATACATTGTTTGATATATTTACATGTGATAATCCCCATCCTACCAAAGTAGCTGAAGACCAACCTTCAAAGTTTTGTTCAAATTTTGGTAAAACGATTGGTTTTACTGTGTCGCTAAGGGGTAAATCGGAAGAAAGCTTTAATATAGCAATATCATTTCTGTAACCATTTATCGGAGTGTATCTTTCATGATAAACAACTTTTTCTACGTGAATTGAGTTAGTTGCATCTGCGGAAATTTCAACTAAACCGTATTGAATACTCAAAGAAGATGGGGAGCTATTGAATTATAAAAATTAGATTGGTTGTGTGTAAAGGAGAATGTTTTACTTACGATCCTCTAACACAATGAGCTGCTGTTAAAACAAAGTTTTTAGTTAATATGCTAGCCCCACAATTATGGTTATTTGTACTACTTCTTAGAGACACCTAAAAAATAATTTATTTGATATAAATAATTTTTTAATTATATAATTATGCTTACTATGTAAGGAAATTCGCCAATTTCTGCGTTTGTTCCATTAACAATTCTTGTAATTGGTGTAGCTGAATGTTAATAAATTAATTTTTTAATCAAATCGTTGCTTATAATTTTTTTCTTACCGTTTGCTAACACAATAAAAAGAAAACCCACAATTAAAGCAATCATTTTTAATATAGCACTTCTAGTTACTTTCTGATTTAAACTTGATCTGATGCTTTCCTTTAAAGTTCAACTCTAATTTATACCTGCAAAAATAGTGATAATCCAAGGAGATTAATCATATTATGATGAAGTTTTTTTTTAGTCTGAGACAATTTCAAACAATGATTGTTTACTTGTCTGTGATAAGTTATGGGCGATATTTTGTTTATTTTGAATTTATGTCTGTTTTTAAACAGTTTATAAAAATTATCAATAATACAACGTGTTATTCTGAATAAAATTATTTATTATTTATCTTTATTTAAAACGAGAAATTTCCTTTTTCCTAATTAACTTTTTATAGTTTCCTGGTTGCTTTTCTTTTTGAATTACGTTAGTGAAACTTTAAATTATTTCTTAAGCTCTTATCCTAAATTAAACTCTTTAATGTTAGTTAGAAAAGGTAAAGTAGTAATTTACTTCTGCTTTAATTCCAACAGTGTTGCAGAGGAACATTAGACATCCATCCTAGTTAAAGAGGGTGGCTTGTTTCTGCCGTTTTAGAGGCAGATTTTAATTTGCAAGTTTTCAACGCGAAACTCAACCCAACCCGTTTTGAATTTGCGAGCACACAACCGAACTTTCTGATTGCCTTAACGGGTACCTCGTTTCATTCGGTGCCAACTGTATTTGAAATTTTCAACTCGTGTCGAAAATATTACCAATTGACTCCTAACCGGATTTCCTCTCAAAATTTATTTTACCACCAAGTTTAATCTTTAAAGAAGTTATGAATGATAAAATGTATTACAAACTTTTTCTTTGAACTTAATCCTAAAATGTATTGATTTTAAAGAAAGAATTAAATTTTTTTTATTATTGATTTTATTTTACTAAAATAATTGATAAAAATTCGATGATTAATAACAAAAACCAATACAAAGTAAACAAAATATTGACCAAAACCTATCACAATATTATCGATAAACAAATCATTTTCTGTTTGGATTTGTCTCGTACTGAAAAAAGGAAGTCCTTAATAATCTAAAATAAAATCTAATTGATATAAATCATCTTGATTATCTATATTTTCGCAAGTATAAATTGCAATTGAATTTTCATGTAAGGTATCAGATCAATTTCAAGTCAGCATTAAGTTAGAAAGCGTTGCTACAATAAAAATGATTGCTTTAATCGTTGGATTTCTTTTCATTGGGTTAACATCTGGTAAGTAAAAAAAATATAATAATTACTATTTAATTAATTAAATTAATATTTTTAGCTACCCCAATTTCACGAATTGTTAATGGAACAGATGCCGATGTTGGCGAATTTCCCTACATAGTAAGTATAATCAAAACGAAAATCTTAATTTAGTTATTAATTATTTTTTAAGGTATCTTTAAGAAGTCGCTCAAATAATCATAATTGCGGAGCTAGCATATTATCCAAAAATTTTGTTTTAACAGCAGCTCATTGTGTTCAAGGACAGTAAGTACAATTATCTCGTTAACATACACTTTAACTCACCTTAATCATTCTTAGCACACCATCTACTTTGAGTATTCAATATGGTGTGGTTGAAATTTCCGCCGATACAACCAACTCTATCCAAGTAGAATCTTTAGTTTATCACGACGATTACGCCCCAGCAGATGGTTACAGAAATGATATCGCCGTATTAAAACTTTCATCCGATTTACCACTTAGTGATACAGTAAAACAAATCACTTTGCCAAAATTAGAACAAAATTTTGAAGGTTGGTCTTCAGCTATTTTGGTAGGATGGGGATTACCACAAGTAAATATGCCAAAAATATATGTGTAAAATAATAATAATAACGTGTGATTATCTTGTAGACTGGAGGAAGTGTGATGACTCATCTTCAAAAAGTTGAAATTCTCCTTTTCCCTCAAGAACAATGTAAAGCTGCCCATGGAACTAAAGTCGATGACATTAATCATGTTTGTGCTGGAGTTCCTGAAGGAGGAAAAGGGCAATGCAATGTAATTTTTTTAAGGGGTTTAAGAAATTAAGGTTGAAATTTTTATTCTTTTGTAGGGTGATTCAGGTGGACCATTAACTGTTGATGGTGTTCAAGTTGGAATAGTTTCATGGTCAGTGAAACCTTGTACCATTGCTGGATATCCGGGAGTTTTTACTAGAGTTGCTCATCATATTGATTGGATCAAAGATAATATGGCAAAATTGTAATTCATAATCAATGAACCTATTTATTTTTTATTAATTATTAATATTATTTTTTAATGGTATTTATTGGGTTAAATAAAAATTTATTTATTACAATTGAAAATACTACATTTATACATTTATTTTTTACCTTGATTGTTCGTACTCAACCATAACAAGTTGTTAATGGGAAACAACATTATTATTTGTCAGATAATTTATTACTTGACTATAATTATAAATATCGGGCTGAGTGAACTTGTCATCTCACTAATAATGAACAAAATAACGTGAACTTGAAACTGAAATGAGAAATTGACACTGTGTTGTTTAAACAAATAAATGTGTAAAATTTAATATGAAGGTACTCATTGATGTAGCAATTCCATATTTCAAAATAGACTATAACGAAAAAGAGGGGGAGATAATCTACCCTAAAAGCTAATATTAGTAGAATGCATGTCCCCGTTTCTTTTCTATATTAATTTACTTTAAGTCGGACCCAACCCACCTTATAACAAGCGCGATCTTGCCTAAAATAAATCTTACACAAGAAATTTTAATTGTCGATATTTTACGTTCAAAACATATGATAGAAAATTGATAGCAGCGCCTTAATTAAATAGTTTAATTACTAAGGAATGGCATAACCGTGTCTTTTAACTGTTATTAAATATATCCCATTCTCTTAAAACTTCTTCGCAAGGATTCATCTTCATTTTATGATGTAAACACAACTTTAAATTACAAATCACCACTAATATCGGTCCCGAATTAGCTATGACTTATTATGATTCATGGTGATCACACCTATACTATTACTAAAGGATATGATTGTAAAATGATTATAGCATGCTATGCACGAGCATACATATAAAATATATAAAAATATATGTAAAAAGAGACAAGTGTTTTATAAGATAGTCACTTTCCAGGTTCTTTGCAAGATTGTTCAACGCTTCCACACCAAGTGGAAGTAAATAACTCTCCTACCAGACATAACTGGCAGATACCCAACGAGGTTGTACAGAACGAGTTGGTGGAGTGGGTAGTTGGTAGTTTTAAGCCCTTCAAAACACACGGATCCGACGGTATTTATTTATTTATTTGTTTAAAGTAAACAGGGTAACCCGTAATTACATATTTCAGTACACTAACAATTTCATTTAACTAAATTAAGCAATTCAAGCAAAGGATCAAAAATAAAACAACCAGAAGCAATGAAACGATGAAAGAACAAAGCGACGTGCGAATTAGGAATTAAGAACGTGCGACGGAACAGCTTAGAAGTCTAATCGAACAGTCACATGGTCAAACGCTCAAATGGTTAAATGTATCTTTCCTGCTTTTCTTCAATGGAGCCTAGAAGATATGAAAATACACTTGATGAGGATGTTTAAAGTTTACTTAGCCTTTAATTATGTCCCCATCAGCTGGAGGAAAGTCACCGTAACCTTTATACCAAAAAATGGAAAAAAGGATCCAACGGATCCCAAAGCCTTTCGACCAATTAGTCTCTCATCATTTCTTTTAAAGACACTTGAAAAACTATGTGATCATCACATTAGAGAATATGTGCTTAAATCGTTTCTTTTACATTTGCATCAACATGCCTACATCAAAGGTACCAAAGGTGTAAGTATCAAAGGTCTGTAGATACCGCCCTACACATGGTGGTGGGGCGCATCGAGCAAGCACTTGATTCGAAAGAGTCTATTTTAGGAGCTTTCCTTGACATAGAGGGAGCATTTGACAAAACCACCTTTAGTAGCATTAATCTGGCACTGGAATCTCGAAGAGCGCTATTGGTCATCGCGGGCTAGATAAAAACAATGCTAGCAGGCGTTTAAAATTGTTGAACGATGATGTGAAGAACATAACCTCTCTGTTAATCCTGAAAAGACTGAAATTGTTCTCTTCACTAAACAGAACAAACTGGGACACTTAACATCACCCAATTTCTGCAATAATCCATTAACTTTTGCTTCAGAGGTGAAATATCGTGGTGTTATCTTGGACAAAGGACTGAGTTGGAAATTACACATTAATTGCAAAACCAAAAAAGTTACGATTGTACTGACCCAGTGCCGAAGGGCAATTGGGAATACTTGGGGATTAAATCGAAGGTTATAATGTGAACGTACACTTCTGTGGTAAGACCCATGGTAGCTCACGGAACCATAGTTTGGTGCTGAGCACTAAAACATTTCATATAAGACTAAATTTGCTGCGTCAATTGCAAAGACTGGCCCCCCTGTTAATTACGGGCGCCATGAGATCGACACCTACGATCGCGATGGAGACTATGCTGAACGTGCTGCCACTAGATATTATTATCAGGGAGGTGGCCGTGATGGCGTTGCATCGATTGCGGTCAGTAGTCAACAAACAGGTTGTAAAAATGAGAATAGTAAGAAAGCGACGTCTGGAGCGAGGCTGTTCGTAAACAACCACTCCTTGAAGCTCGCACAGACTATATCACACCTACTTTCTTAAGCAAGCCACATTTTGGTATTGAAACGAAGCAACCTAAGCTCGGGCAAAACGCCGACCATCTACACTGATATATCAAAGAAGGCTGGAGGCTCCGGAGCGGGAACACCTTTCCATTTCGCTAGGGCCCCACTGCACGACTGCTCAAGCCGAAATAACTGCTATAAACATAGCAGCAAAAGTGATCATCGACTCCAAAAAAGTTGCCAGAAACGTTGCAATCTGCACAAATCAGACAGGCCATGCTGGCGATTAGTAGGCATCGGAGTACATCATCGTTAGTGAGGTCCTGTCGGCAATCACTAACGTTTCTAACAACGTCATGATAAAGTGGCGGAAAGGACATACCGGAAATAAGGGACACAATCATGCGGACAGGTTGGAGAAAAGGGCAGCTAAGAAGTCACCGGTCTCCCTTGAACCGTTTGTACCTCTAACTTTTAATACAGCATCAAAACTGATAAATTCCATTTCTCATCGCGCTTCTTGCGATAGATGGGATGAGACAGGAGTAGGTGCCTTTGCAAAGAAAAGTGCTCTATCCTGACCGGAAGAGATCTACTCATTTCATCGGATAATAGAAAAGTCACTGACCGTACACTGCAGGTTACGTAAGCAGATGTTTTACATGAAGCTGGCAAATACATCCCTCTGTAGAGGGTGTGAAATAGAAGACGAGACGGTAAGTAATATTGTTTGTGACTGTCCCAACCTCGCGTACTTACGGGAATTCACTTGTGGCGTACCTTGGCCCCAAATTTCGGATATAAGGAACATACCTTTCTGTTCTATATTAACGTTCATTAAAACATTGGGTTGGTTTTCTGACCCTTGAATGAATTGTTAAATGTGGGGATATATAAAGGGCCCGTTGCGACCTAAATGTTGTGAAGGAATTCACCCTCACGTAAAACTACATACACATACAAGATAGTCAATAATGAGTCATTCGAAACTTAAACAAGAATTTAGTTGAATTAAATTATTTATAAACAATTCGATTAAGACAAACCATCACGCTACATTGGTGACCCCGACAGTAGATTGAGTAATGATGAGACCCAACCTTTAGTAATTTACTCCGACATTAAATTCTTTAAGCATTTATGGTTTACACTGACCATAAACCTATCATTACATCTATCTTTTCAACAAGTGCAAAGACTCCAAGTCAAACAAAGTATCTAAATCATATCACTCAATTTACCTGTGATATTAGACACATTAAAGGAGATTCAAACATTGTTGCTAACACATTGTCCAAAACCGATATAAAATCTTTAAATTCACCGTATCCAGATACAGTCACATCAAGAAACGCACAACTTATATAGCAAACCTCACAACACTCAAACTTAAAACTTTAAAGTTTCAAAAAACAATCCGCATGTTTACGTACCTAAAATGTATCAAGAAATTGATCAAAAACTATTATTAAGAAATTTCATAACCTAACACACCCTCGAATTCGCTCAATAGATGTAATCAAAACACGTTGCTTTTGGCCCCATATGTCAAAAAATATTCATTCAAGGACAAAATCTTGTTTATATTGCCAACAAAGAAAAATTAACAAACACACTAAAATAAAGTAAAAAGTTCCTATTCCAAGATCTAGAGTTCAACATATATACATTGACTTAATTGATCCTCTCGATCCTTCACTTGGTTGTTCTTATGTTCTCACTGTAATAGAACGTTTCACTTGTTGGCCAGAAGCCTTTCCTCTCAAAGATATCAATTCAAACATGATTGGCAAACAACCTCTTTCAACACTATTTCAGTAGATTTGGCATCTCCAGCACTATAACTCACGATCAAGGTTGAATCAAAATTAGTTTCAAAATTCAACACACTTATCTGGACAAATGAAATCCACACGTCGACTTTAGACCCCCAAAGCATTCGGATTTTAGAAAGGTTTCACCGTACTTTAAAAACCGCAAATAATTCACCGATTATCCTCAGAGGTTCGTCATCTTGAGCCTCATCATTAGCCTCTACAGGTTGCTCATCCGCAGAGCTAGTGTATGGCCAACCACTTAAATTACCTGGAGAATTTTTCGTTAATGATAAATCTCCTCTCGAAACAAAACCACTACTTTCCAGCTTACGTACAACTTTTGCAGACCTAAAACCGGTAACTCAGTACCTAGACTGAGCCCTTACCTCCCAAAATCCAACCACGTCCGAGGATATTTCGGCAACGTATCCGGAGAGTTACGTCTCCAAACGAGTATTCTAAATCATTTCTTACATTCCCCAGGTGATACGTTACTTCAACATCTGGGATTAGTTTGTCATGACTAATCGTGAATGTCAGGATGTCACCTCCGTAATTAAGGAAACGTGGCGCTCTCGACATCCGACAGGCTCAACTCTGGAATCTCTTCTCGTATACCAAGCCGAACCATACAAAAAAAATGTTAACAAGTGACCTGAGACCACTAAGACGCATGGTGCCTCACACTTCGACGAATTCTACCGGAATCAATGAGCCGTAGCCATGTACCAGACAGAGTATCTCCCATATACTTGTCCTTTATCCATAAAGCAGAGAATCGGACAGCTATGATACAGTTCTTTGGATCACCGACGTGTGATATAAAAGTGGATCAATCTTGGATACTAAAAAGAACGCGCAAACGACACCTCAAGCGATTAAGTACTAAGTATTTGTTGAAAGCGGCGAAATGTTGACTTGACTACGAAAGGTAATTGCGGACTATGATGTAGGCCACTATCTGAGCATTAAGTCGCCTACAGTTCTTCACTATAGTATTAGGTACTGAGCTACACTATAATCTGGGCAGAAATGGAATTGCGTTAATATCCAACACACAAATATGGATTTCTTAGCGTTGTACCATAAACGGAGTAGTACCAAGACAGAGCCTTCAACCTTCTCTGGTAAGACTAACTTTAAATTCCCGCGCGCTACCTTCCAAAATCCAATCACGATCTTTCTTCAACGGAACTAGATCTAGACCATTCCTTACGTTGGCCAGATGATGCAGTGCTTCGGTCTTCCAAGATTTTTACGTCATGACCTAATGCACCATTGTACCTAATTTACACCATTGTAGTAAATGAGACCCGTCGTACTTAAGGCGAGCTTGTTACCTCACCCTTTGACGATCTGTAAGGTAACATATTTTACCAAAAAAGCAGAGAATGGAATAGTTTTGATTCAGTTCAGATAGGACAGGAGCTTATAGTCTGTAACCGAATAATATAAGACGCGATCTATAAGGGCAAAAATGGCAATCAGAACATCTGGAAACGTTTCATGCATTATCAGTGCTCAACAAAAAAGTGGAATAGAACAACTGGTAAAGGGCATAAAAAATAAGACTAAACCAGAAACTTGTACATCTTTTGAGTAATTAAGCCGAAGTCCCTCGCGGCCGAGGCTCACTACCTGAAGCAAGTCATCATATTGTTGTCTTAAAAATCTAAGGATATGAAACTTAAAAGTGTTAGGAAGTGTTAAACTTCCTAATCTTCACTTTGCTGTAAAATCTAACAAGATTATTATCAGGACTATTATTTCACAAAAGTGAAAAGGTAACTAGATTCTCTGATTTCCTTTTTCGCCATAGACTTACAATTGTTTGTAAACAACGATGAAAGTATTTATTATATTATTTCGGTGCTCCAGTAGTTTTGATGTAAGCTTAGGTCATGATATATATAATCATTACACCATATAAGAAAATAAAGAAATATAGAGAAATAAACAAATTGATGAATGGAAAATCAAAAAGATTCTTGGCTCAATGATACATATTTAAAACAATAAAACCTAAAGAACGCTTTTTAATCACTACATTTGCATAGGAACGCAACGACGTTTACATAGGAATTCGTGTCACAGGTGGAGAGTAGATGTGTTGAAACAAAAACAATTAGAGGAGCGAATCAAAGAGCATTGTACGAAAAAGCAGAGTTGTAGTGGTGTGGGTATGTGTTTAGTCTCCTGTAAATGCTTGTGAACAGCTTGTCAAACGTCGACATTATTAAGTCCGAACAGAATTTCCTGAAATACTTCACACCATAGTGACTCCACGAAGATAGCTCAACAATTACAGAATTTATTTGCTGATGCAATTTTCATCGCTGGTTTAACCGAGTATTAAACTCGAATTAGTTTATGAATCGAAATTGTTTCAACCCTTGCCATTTAGTTATTCAACAGAAAACACAGAAACAATCCCGAGAAACACAAATAAATACTTAATGGAGATAGCTAATTCGTTATTCTTCAAGTCGTTATTCGACCGTGATAATATCCAAGAAGGCTGGAGAATATTATTCTTGTATGTTTTATGAACAACCATTTAAGAAACCTTCGTCATGTACAGATTTTTTCCATCATGTATCTACGATCCAGGTGGTATAGCATATATTATGACTAGAGCTCGGATTTTTATGCAGTCAAATTATAGGAAATATGCGCATAAATATGCAAGCTTTTTATTCAAAATATGCAAAAATATGTGGAAATATGCAAACATATACCTTTCTTATAGTTGTTATTAATCTATTTCTATCACATTTTTGTAAATGTTTTGCACTTTTCACATGTTGTTCTATTTATTTTCTTCCTCTCACACGTTATTTTAAAAAAGAATAATTAAAAAGTTAGCCATAGATACTCTAACAGATGAAAATTTAATTCTAAACATATTCCAAGAAGATGGGACATCAAATTTAATATAGTTTTATTTAGTTTTAATTTAACAGTTTTCCATTTTTTTTAACTCCTAGTGTAAAAGTCTGAGAAATATAATTTCGGAACAAACCATTTGCAACTCCTCTGAAAACTCTAATTTTTAACTTAAATCTTTGGCTAAAACGCTACGACATAATTTTTAAAAAAATACTTACAACTTTGGCACAAGTTTTACAAAATAATTCCTCATTATATAAATTTAGTTCGGGATAACTTTTTATCCACTGGGACACAAGACACGATATCACTTTAGGCATTGTTGTTATAGATTGGTAGATTAATGTTCACTCACACTGAACACCGCCGCAGTAACTATGGTTGGAGATTTCCTTAAACTTAAACTCAACAGCGCTAGGGATTCCCCGCATGTTTCTGTCATTCAATCAAAAAATATTCTGTATTGTGCCTTAAACTAAAAGGTATGTTCGCATATTTAAAAATCACGCAGTCATTATATTTATTTTATTAAGCAACAAGAAACAAATCTAGTAAAATGACAAAATATGCGAAAATATGCAGTAAAAGGCCAATTTATGCAACAATCAAAAAAATTGTAAAAATATGCAAAATATGCAATTTTTGTATTGTACCATCTGCCTTATTTTTATGCAATTCGCCCAGAAACCAATTTTGAAAAAAATATTCCAGAAAATAACGAAGATGCATTTTGCATAAAATCCGAGCCCTAATTATGACGTATATATCATAATGATACGCGAATTGTGAAAACATTTGTTGCACTAAAAACATATATACGAAATACTACAATTGGTCTCGCCTTCCGAGAGAGTAAAATCAAGACCAAACTTACAAGTAAAATCAAAACCAAACTTAATCTTAAAGCAGGTAAACCGCCACACAAAATTAATTCTTATCAATCTATGGTAGTTATTACATATGATCTCAAAAGTAACAAGCGATTACTCCTAAAGAGAATGCAACCTATTTCAGAAAGGAAAAATCTGATCATATATCATCAGTTCGGATTCAGCAATGCACACTTAACTGTAGATCAGGTACACAGAATAACTAATATCATCGATTGCAAAAAAAATGGGGTTGCAAAGACGTAAACAACTACTTCCTGTGGAAAATTAAAACATTTTGATGTGTCATTTAAGAGACAGGTTAACACTGAAAGCAAGAAGGTGTTTATAAACCTCAACGAAGCAGTGTTGGAGCTGGTCTGGAATCTATATCTGCTTTATACGTGTGATCCCCCAAAATTAGATAATAATATAACATTCAGTACCTTCGCCGATGACATTTCTTTCCTTACTGTTGGTAAAAATAGTTAAGAAACAGCAAGTGAACTTCACAACGTAATAATAAATTTTAAAAAAGGATGAAAAAATGAAAAATAGAGAAAATGTTTAAATTTTAGCAATTATCATTATTAATTTTTTCGTCTTCTCCGTTGTATTCTCATAACTAAGAAGTCGTGATTCCATATTTATCAGCATACTTTTATTTTGGTCCTCCATAAGCGGAGTGTCTGCTATCTCTTTCCTGGTCCAGCCACCTAGTTGGCGATCGTCTTCTTGGACTTTTGCCTTCTACTTTTCCTTAGTCTATTAATGTTTCCAGCTTATCCCCATCTCTTTTGATTATATGCCCAAAACATTGTAGAAATCACAGCAAATAGTGGACAGTTTTATCTCAAGGTGTTTCAGTATTGATATATCAGTGCGTTTGTCTGTCCAAGGAATACGCAGCATTCAACGCACCACATCTCGAAAGCCGCAATTCTTTTTCTATCGGCTCTTTGATAGTCGAGGATTCTACACGGCATAGGAAGATCACGAATATAAGCTAGTTAGAACTAGCTTAACTTTTGTCCCTTTTTTTTATTTGTTGATCTTTCCATATCCTCGTCAAGTTGTAAGCAATTTATATTGAATTAAATTAATTTAGAAGAAAAAACTTTTTAAGAAAAATTGTTGTTATTTAAAAATATGCTATTCGATAAAAATTTTTGATTAGACAAAAATCAAAAAAGTGTTATCTACATATGCTTGGAATGCGAGTCTAGAGATAACATTAACATGCGTCTGAAATAATATTGTTAGTGGCTGGACGTTTATTTTTTATTATTATTGAAGTAAATAAGTTTAATCCCTGGTTAAAATTTTTATAATTATAATAAAAAATCTAGATCCTTATTTATTTCTAATCGAAGTATAAATATTATTTATTATTGTTATTAATAATAAAATAAAGAAATAATTCTAATTCCATATTGATTACATATGTAAATCCCTTTTAATGTAAATTAAGAAATATTTTACATAAATTAAAATCTTGTCGAAATATAATAGATAAATTTTAATTGTACAGTTACAAATTTAATCAGTAGCTATTAAAAAAAAACTTGCACTACTTAATACTTAACTCAAGTACTACAACAATAGCATTGATTAAGTAATTTATAACATTCTGATAACTTGTGACAATAATTTATGAACGGATTTTCGAAATTTTAACTCAAATAATAATCATTTATTTCATCAGTTCAATCAGTTTGAGGTAACGATGCATTACAAAATGTTCCCTCTATTTGTTATTTTAACAATCCTGGAAATTTCCAAAGGTATTTTTTTAAAAACATCAATTTTCTCGAGTTATTTTAATTCCCTTTACAATTTTAAGCATCGACTATAAGGGTCGTAAATGGAACTGATGCGGAAGAAGGAGAATTTCCGTACATTGTAAGTTTTCTTATTTTATCCTCGAATTAACTCAAAATAAATTATTTTTAAGATTTCATTTCGTTATAATAACAAACACAGTTGCGGTGGATCGATTTTAAATGAAAATTTTATTTTAACAGCAGCACATTGTGTTCATGGACGGTAATAAATTATTAATCAACAGAAAGAATAGAACCGACAAAGTTTAATTAAATATTCTTTTAGAATTGTTGAAAATATGTCGATTCAATATGGTATTTTAGAGATTTCTAACGATGATTTTAACGCTATCGATGTAGATTATGTTATAATCCATGAAGCTTATAATGGTAAAGTTGATATGAATAATGACATCGCTATTCTTAAGGTGAATAAAAAATAAATAATTTTGAAATGAATGTAAATAATAAAATAATTTTAGTTAAAATCACCAATTCCTTTGGATGAAAATGTGTATCCAATCACTTTACCACCTCCTGGAATTGAATTTGAACACGGTACAGTTGCAGTTCTTGCTGGATGGGGATATTCTTATGTAAATGAAATTAATCCATTAAATTAATTAAAAAACATTCTTTTTTAATCACTAAACTTGTTTAGACTAATGGAAGTGTGATGCAACATCTTCAAAGAGTAGATCTTATAATATACTCGTTTGAAAATTGTCAAAGTGCTCACGGTGATGAAGTTAATGAAGTATCTAATCTTTGTGGAGGTGTTGAAGAAGGTTGGAAAGGACAATGCAGTGTAATTTAATTAAGCTGTTTAAGAAATTGAAAAATTAATTTTTATTCTTTGTAGGGTGATTCAGGTGGACCTTTAGCTGTTGATAATGTTCTGGTTGGTATTGTATCTTGGTCAGTTAAACCATGTACGTTAGTAGGATATCCTGGGGTTTATACCAGAGTAGCTTCTTTTATCGATTGGATTAATAATAACGCATTTTAATAATTATAAAATTTATTCCAAATTTATATCATCTATGATTAAATCTGAAATAAATCTAAACTGGCGTGAATGGACCCAAAAGATACCTTAAGTTAACCAAACTTTTTTAATAATTTATGAAGGTAACTAATGGTCTATCAAAACCAAGATTTTTGATTCCTCTAGATGAGTTTTTTACCTTAAATGTTAATACAAAACTACTTGCTAAAAATAGCTTCAAAAGTGATTATATTAAAGCTATAAATATAAATCATTTCAAAGATATAATTATTTTAACACCACTATGAAAGCAATTACAGACAATTTTCCATTAATAGAATAAACATGAACCCCATCGAGCACTTCATGCATGTCAACACAACATTCTCGCACAACGCGAGCGGAAGCGGATGAATTTGTGTGAATATTTTACTGTAAATTTATTCAACAATTTTCCCATATCGATCCATTTTCAAAGCTTGTGGTAAGCAAGGATAAATTTTCTATAGTATTCAATATTTAGACCGATAAAAATTTTGTTTACAAGATTGCTTATCTTTTAATTAAATACAAATATAACAGAATCAAAATTTATGAGTTCAGATCAATCTGTTACGTTATTGGGTAGTTAATAGCTTATCTTCTTCTTCTTCTTTCGGTGCCATATCAGGTCCCCGCAACGTTGGTAATCACATCAGCGAGTTGTTCGCGGTTATCTAAATAGTTGTTCGGCAATGCGTTTTCCGGTCCAATCACGAATGTTCCTTAGTCACGATATTTGCTTCCTTCCAATTTCTCTGCTACCCTCGATTTTACCTTTCATAATAAAATGATTTTTATCTATATCTTTTCCTTTATTTATGTCTTTCTTATCTTAATAGTTTTAAATAATTCACAAACGGCATTAAATTTAACACTGCATCGTTGATCTGAACGGCTGTCCAGGGTATTCAGAGGATTCTTATATGCATCCACATTTCGAATGCTTTTTTAAAGTTCAAATCTCAGCTCCATGTATACCAACCAGTGATAACCCTTGATCATTCTTTAACGCAATCTTGGATTTATATTGTGGTTACAGAAGAATGACTTCATTTTCAGAAAAGTTGTGCGAGTTGTTTCAATTCTGCACTGCTCTCTTTATCTGGAACTAGTTATTCCATGATATAGCATCATATAGCAGTTTTTCTAAAAATAACAGATTCCTTCGCTTAAATTACTAAAAGATAGGTAGAGTAGGAGCACCGTTTATGGCTACTGTACCATTTATGGCCATTTCAGAGGAAGTCGTTGCGTATTAAGATCCTAATAGACAGTAGTTGAAAAGTAAGTGCATTACAGACTGTGTTAGATCACGTTTCCGATATTGAAACAATTTGAAAATGGTTTCCATGTTTTAGTTGATGTGCTGTGCTCGAAGATCTTAGCAAAAACGGTAAGGGCAATGCACATTTAATCTTTTATTATCTTTAGCGTCGTTTCATATTTAAGCGAGCTTATGAACTACATGATCACAAATAGGTTAGTTTCAAAGTATTTAATAATATTATAACTCTAAATTGAGGTTAAGCGTATTTTTGTTAACGTGACCATAAGTAGAGCGAATTTTGTGAAGTTTACCAGTTATGGCCATGACGTGGCCATAAGTGAATGGCCATTCTGTGAAATTTGATGCTTTAATGGATTTTGAAAACTCCATTTTCCAAGAATAAGCCCGGCAAAAAGTGGTTTACTTCTTTCCTAAATAAACACCCAGAAGCATGCTGAATATGGCAACAAGGCAAGGGGAACTGTTACTGAAGAACAAATACGAAACTGGTTTAAGGAAGTTGAAATTTTACTCACAGAAGAAGAAATTGTAGCAATAAGGGATCCAGAGCGCGTCTTTAATATGGATGAGACTTGCTTCTGTTTGGCTCCAAAAGGAAAACTCATACGATTTGTACTTCAACAGCAGAGCTGAAAGTGTTGACCCATCAACATCATCAACGTACTTGCCAAGCCTAAACGGTCTCTTGCCTCAGTGTTCAATGATGTCGTTCCTTGACCACTCCATAAACCGACAGTACGAAAAAGGAAAAAAGAATATACTTCAAGCATTGTTACATCTGACAAATGGGTGGAATACTTTAAACTCAAAGAGAAAGAGAAGAAAATTCAAGAAGAGCTGAAAATGGAGAGAAAGAAGAAAAGGGAAATGCAGAAAAATATAGTAGAGGCGCAGAAGGCAAAGAAGACGAAGTAGACAAAGGAAAACTGTTTATGAAAGCGGGAGCAGCTTAGATGATGTTGACGATATTGAGAGAGAAAATGAAGAAACAATTGATATGTATGGAGTTACAGCCCCGCAGGAGTGTGTTGCAAAAATTTTGTGCGTGTTAGATGACGATGAGTTTGATATACAATGTTTAAAAAGCTTAGATCAGACTAATTGTAAGACACATTTCAAAGTTTTAGACAATGACAAATGTGCCATTACAAACGAAGAAATCCTTGGAACGCTTCGAGAACCCGAACTGAAAAATGTCGGTCGAAAGATGACGACTGTTTTCCGCAGTGCTGTAGACGTATTTGAAAAACAATAAATGTACTAAAAAACATAGGAGGTATGATGAAAGTTATATATCCTTAGGATTTATGAACAGTAATGCTAATCCGCAGTGCGTTATATGAAGCAAAGTTCTTCCAAATAGCTCTATGGCTCCAGCTAAGATGTGTCGACATCTGTTCATGGGGACCTTAAAGAAAAAAATATTGAATTTCTCAAGCGAAAGTGTGAGGAACTTGTAAAATTAAAAACATTTATGGTTCAAACCACAAAAACGATTAATGAAAAAGCAACTGAGACTTCCTACTTGGTCAGTTATCAAATAGCTCAACGCGGTGAAGCCTACTCAATTGCGGAAAATCTAATAAAACCTTGCGATATGGATATGGTGTAATGTATGTTAGATGAAAAATCAGCAGAAGAAATAAGTAAGATCCCACTATGGAATGACACGATAGCTCAACGCATCAGAAATTTAGCAATCAATATAAAAAATAAACTTACTTTTCGCCTGAAATCATGCAAATTTGCATTACAAATGGACGAATCTACTGATGTAGATGGACTCGCAATATTAATTGTTATCGTTAAATACCAGCATGAAAACGCAATATCAGAGGATCTTTTGTTATGCAAATCTCTACCACCACATACTACTGGACTAGAAATATTTAGTCTCCTAAATTCTTTTCTTGAACATAATGAAATACCATGAGACAACTGCATCCATATCTGTACAGATAGAGCAAGAACCAAAATTGGAACAATTAATCTGGGGTCAAAAATCTGGGGCCAAAAACTGTTCTAGCAGTCGCTGTATGCACTTGCTGCAAAAAAATTATCCCCCAGTTATAAGAAGGCCCTCGATGAGGTGATCAAAATTATTTCATTCGAAGTGAAAGATCGGTTATTTGATAAAAATTGGCTTCGTAAAATTGACATTTTTACGTGAAATGAGATTCTCAGCTTATGTGTCGACAAAAAATAAATATCGCAACAAACTTGACGCCGAATCTGACATAAGAATTCAACGTTCATCCATAAAGCCTAATATTAAGTATATCTGCGGCAATAAAAAGCAGCGCTACTCTTCCCATTAAACGTTATTTTAATAAGTTTTGCATTAATTTTGAAAGTACTTTTTGAAGCAAATAAATATTATTTAAAATAACTCTAATTATTGAATGATAACAGGGGTTCCACGATAAATGTGGTTTAATAAAAAGGGTTCCACTCATCAAAAAGTTTAAGAAACGCTGCACTATGCTAACATGCAAATAACACCGCACAACACTATGCTCTGCTTTATGCTAAACTTTACACGAACTCAAATATTTTTCTCCTTTTGAGTCTTACTTTTAAAGCAGTGTTACCGAGGAGTTGGATTGCTCCACATTCCCATGGCCATGCATTCTCTCTTCATGACTTCTTAATTATTGCAACTACAGTTTCCATGCCTAGGACCCCTATTACGTATGTGTAATGTAGCATCGACGATGTTCCTCAATACTTTGTTTTCAAACCTCTGAATGACGTTTATATTAGTAACTTTGGCACAGCTCCGGAGTTGCACCTATACCAGCCTCAGAGTTTTATTTGTAAGTTAAGAGTTTTTTGTGAATGATTAATGTGGAATTTATTTGTGTACACATCTTCCTGTTATAATAGAAGTATATATCTGCAATATATGATTAAGATTTCCGAATGCTATTTAGGCATGCAAGGTCACAATTTGTAGTTCAAACTTTTATTACATTGCCTTCTATAACGAGTCATGTGTCATCCATCACCTTTAACTTTATGTTTATAAACTTAGTTGTTCTTAGTATCGCGTTTTTTACTAACTCGCATCTACGATTTTCTTCATGTGATTTCATTGCTAACATCATTGCAATTTTTTTAAATTATCAGCATGTTTGGTCTCATTTCCTTCTGGAAACTTAGAAATGCAAAGTAAACATAGTATTCTAGACTTCAGCTCCCTAATTTTTCAGCTACATAGATTTCATAACAAGCTAGAATAACAATATCAAACACTACACCTAATCTCGAACTTGGAGCCTAGAAGTCCTTCTTTTAATAAATATCAATCTTTTGATTTCAAAAACTTATAGCTTAATAGTATCACAGGACTCGTACGGTGGACGTAGTATTGATGTATTACGGTTCAAAATGTACGTCGCTCACTAAGACTCACAACATGTAATTACGCGCCCTGGTTATATCCGACTTTTTCAAAAGTTTCAACTTGCAAATTCCGCCAGAAAACACAGCCTGGATCATCGAAACATTCACAACACACTAAAACGCAAATCACCTCTAGATATTCAAGTTTGAAAGAGAAAATATATTAAGAGACACAGCAGGACATTAAACGACGTCTCCCATCCATTTTGCAATTAATGAGTTTGTTTAACTCAAACCTGACAATAATAGCCAAAATAACCCTTCGCCCATCAACACGATATACCCCAATTAGCCACCTAAGCAAGATTATTAAGAATATGATGGTGATATTTCATATAATGTTTGTCGTACTTTAACATACATATAATCAAGAATTTAACTTAAAGTTAACTAGATGTCTATTACTTTTATTATAAATGGCTAAACTGTCTCTAATATATTGGCATGGAAAATGCAAAGAATTGTTTGTTGATAAAAATGATTTTGTAGTGCACAGTGATGGAGGTTAGGTTCTCAACAATCGAAACAGTAATTGTCTGTAATTCT